ACACCCTGCCTGATGTTGAAACATTAAATACGCCTCGATAAACGCGACATCGTCACTGAATCAACAAATAAACGAGACCTCCACTTTCATGGAACATCACAGAGAGCTCCAATTATTCCAGCATCGTTACCCTTTTAATAAATAATTCAACAACAATACAAAGTACCAAAAAAAAAAAAAAAAACTAAAAGGAAAGAAAAATTGAACCATTCGTATTAATAAACTACGGAGATGACGACAAAAATAAAAATAGTATAAAACAAAAAAAAAAAAGCGATAGAGCGACGAGAAAATCGGGTACGTTTCATCGCGATACGCAATGAAAATAAATATTTTTCCGCGGCCGTTTCCACGCGTCCGGAGTTTTTAAAATTCCGCCTTTCACGGGAGGACGGAGGATCGAATAAACGAAGCGAACAGAAAAATATTTCGACGAATACATATCACGGGCGAACGATTCGTGCGAAATATCATTTCGCAGACGTATCGCTCGCAGATCTGCGTTGAATTAATGCGGCACACCGGTGATATCCGTGATATCGTCGCGAGAAACTTTCCACTGGAAGCAAATAAATTTTTACGTTTTCCACCCTGATCGAAATGGCCGCGCTTCGTTCCGTGGATAACCATCGCGCTCGCGACATTTTTTTCCTCCCGTGAGAACGTTTCGAGGGGGGATGATAATTTCGAGGGCGGAGAGATCGACGGAATTGAATTGAACGATTTTGAAAAAAAAAAAAAAAAGAAAAAGAAAAAAGAGGATAAATCGATTTTGAAACGTCGAATGTTGAAAAATGAATTTTATAGAGATATCGAAGGAAAAGGTTAGTTTTTTTGATTAAAATGAATTTATAAATTTTTGAAAATCCATCTTGAAATGATATACATCTTCTTACCGTTTTATACGGACGTCAGATCCGAGCTGGACGATCATATCATCACCTAAAGCTAGAAATGAAAAGAACGTTCAGGCATAATTTTTATTCAGCAGCTTTTTTTATTGTTTTAATTATAAAGAAGTAACAAAGAATAATAATTTCATGATATTACCATACTTTCTCTCTCTTCTCTCGTTCGCTCTCGCACACTCTCCCTAACACGCTTTCTCTCTCTCTATACGAGCAATTCTCTCGCTCTCTCCCTTTCATTCTTCCACGCTCTCTCTCTCTCTCTGTTCTCTATGTATTTATATCAATATTATTTAATAGATATACTCATTCACGTATTGAATATCGTGGCAAATATATAGATAAAGGTTTCATCTAACGTTCACACGTCGTGGAATTAGCGACCGTGCAACGGAGACGCGTCTCTCCCTCCTCTCTTCCATTTCTCGATCGTCACACCCGCGACCCTACAGACTTCCATCGCCAATTTTTCACCGTTCCTCGATCGATTTATCATCCGCGATAAATGGATCGTCGAACGAACATTGCCTCCCTTTGCCCCTTCTCCTTCTTTTCGATCGTTTCTTCTCCTCCTTCTTCTTTTTCTTCTTCTTCTTTTTTTTCTCTTTCTCCAAAACGAATAAAACTGAAAGACGAGCGTCGTCGAGAGAGCAGAGAGTGGGGAGGCGGGAAGCGGAAGTCGATCGAAGACTCGCGGGGATGCGATCGGTGGTCGCGTGTCGAACGAGGCGCTTGCACGAAAGTGTCCGAAACGACACTTCGAGCCGCTCTCTCTCTCTAATGACTCGATAACGTCGCGACTAACCGCCCATCGATTCGCGGAGACGAGTCGCCGGGTCTCGGAAGGAAACCGGAATTCGGGCCCTTTCGGAGAAAACGGATTAGGCTTGGTTCGTTCCACTTTCGAGACTCGATTTCTTTCTTTGGTCGAACAATTTTTACTTCGTTCGCCTATTTGCCTCGTCTCGGAGGAAATTTGAATTGTTCGCATCCATCGTCGCGAGCTCTCGTCAAACAAGCTTTCTTCCAAGCAAAATGGAGGATCGCGAAGAGTAGTTGGAGGACACGCTGCGTCCCGAGTATACTGTATAAAATTTCTATAAAAATTCTGAAACTAGTCTAAATAGGTAGATTCTATTCTGCGTTGTTGTATCAAAACGAATAAAGAAGGTGTTTCTTCAACTGGTATTCGTCTTTCCAAGCCCTCTCCCACGTTTCTCGCGATCCTCTCGTCGAAATCGATCGCGATTAATCGGATCGGACTTTCTTCGTCCTCCTCACGAGCTCCTCACCGATTTCCATGGGAAGGCAAAAACGAAAATTCGAACGAAACTTTTCTCGAAAGAAACGATACTTTGCGATACGTTTTTTTCCGTAAAATCGAGTCTCGTGATTTTCAAACGTTTCGAAGAGATCGACGCGCTTCGAAGGAATTGCGAAACGCGCGCCCTCGATTTCTTCGGGACAGCTGCGTCGAGGTTGCGAGTCCAACGAACGCATCGTTTTCTTCAAGAAAAAAAAAAGAGAAAAAAAATCGATCAAACGCTACCAACAAACGGCTTCATCGCCTCACGTACGTTCCTTGTGCTTCAACTTCATTCCAGTATCTTCTACGCTATTCTTACTACTAAAATTTTGCATTTCTTCATCCCCGTTTCTCGAGAACAGAACAAAACCGATCTTCGGGAGGAAACGTAATATTTTTATTTATTTCGCTAAAGATCGATCTTGAAGCGATACATAAACGCGTCCCATTGTTAATTCGTCAAAGACAACAGATCTAGGAACAGATATCTTTGCCAGAAGAAACGCACATCGACTCGAAGCATCGCGCGATGGCCGCGAATCGTTTCGATTTCTCGGCCCCGGAACCTCCCTCCGTGGTGGGGTAAGTTGGTTTGCCACGTTTTCCGGTTTCCATCCACGCGACCGCGCGCGTCCGCTCTCTTCAACTAATAAAAACTCGACAACATTGAACTATATCGAGAATTATCGCCTAGACTACAAAATTCCAACAACTAATGGCGCCTCCTATCGAAGAAACTAATGTGTACTAATACCAGGCGCCCTCCCCTTGACCTCACCGACGCCGTCCTGGATCTCGATCCTCTCTTCGATCCTCTCGATCTCGTTTCGCGATGAACAGATCACTCGTTAAACAGATGAACATATCCCTCTCCAACCTGTTAATTATCTATTTGATTTTTCCTGAGGGCAGAGTCCTCAACGAGCGCTCCCTCCCAATTCGAATTTACGTCCAATTCTTCTACGATTTATTCTGCATTTTTATATAGAAATATTTTATATTTACTTAGATCTTTAATTTATTCTAATAATTCAACAGATATATATTTTCTTTTCTAATATTCTAAATTCGATTAATCAAAATATATCCGAGTAAAAATTTTCTTCTATCCAATTTTATAGAATGGAGTATAGAAATAAATCCTCCTTAATATTAAAATTTCGATCAATTCGATTAAAGTATTCTCTCGCGCCTCTTAAAAATGATGTAGCAGTAAACGGTTTCTTTTTTTAAGTCATCGTTCGTCGTAAACCGAAAAATAATATCGCGCCTCAAATCGCGGATGGATTTGATCCCCCGAAACTTCCGGTACTCGGCGATTCGAAATGTGCAAACTCGAGAGACATTTCGCCCCTTTCTCGAGCCAGAATATCACCAGAGGAACCGGACTCTGCCCAAAATTGTCGCGAGAGGTGGCGATCGACACGAGATCCAAGCGGGGATTCGATCCAGGAAGCGAGTTTGATCGGCACCACCCTCGTCCACCGTACTTGCACGAGAAACAATATTGTATAAGAAAGAACACACCCTCGAGAAACGAAAAGTTCCCTCCGTAACCGCATGCACTCACGCACGCACGAAACAGGCAAACAATCGGGAAAACGTTCTCTCATTTTCTCCTCGCCCTCGTCTTTATTATACCCATTCGCTCTTAACTTGTACGCGTGAAACGAAATTTTCTTGAAACTTTTCTCGACGGATCTCCGCAGAAGAAGCCACTGAACGATGGAGACAACACCACGAACAACAACTGCGCTAATTCGAATAATCAAGTTCGAAATCGGTCGATCGATAGTGTCGAGAAGGATGATCGTTCCACCGCGAATCATTTCAAGCTGCATCCTCAGTGAAACCAGATTTCTTAAAAAATAATTTTCTACATTTTTTTCCCCGAATAAAAAAGTAACAATCTTTCTTATGATTAATGACAAAAATAAAATTCAAATGTATAATTAATTCTAATTACGCCTAATTCAATATAGACAAAATATTTCAACAATTTATTTAAATATATTCTAGTATACGCGGAATAACGAAAGGTTGCACAGATCGTAACTTCAGTGAGAACGCAGCTTTACGCGAGAGGTCGCCATTTGCATTATACAGAGACCTCTAGACGCGAACAGCTCTCAATCGAAGCTTTCGTAAAAAAATCTGCGACCTAATTGTCTCTTAATTTTTTTTTTTCTATCGATTCCGTCGACACCGAGACACTCGTTCGGAATCGACGGTGTATCCTCTGTATTTTTCTATAAAATTATAAAAAATCCACCGTATCTCTCGACCCGTATCCCCCTCCTTTCTCGATCCCCTGAATTGTTCATCCCTCCTCGACCAGTGATCGCGTGAGTTCGTGAACGCGTCTCTCGGCCGGAAGCGCGTGTCGCTTCCGTTCGCCAGCCAAGCGCACGGTGCTCTTAATTAATAAACCTAACAACACGCCGCTGCTTCTCTCGGCTTTACTAAATACGACTAAACTGGTTGTTGCGAGGTTTCCACTGTTGTCGCATAGTCCGTTCTCTTTCGAGGCGATCGTGCTACGCCTTTCCTCTTTTTTCTCTTCTCTCTCATTCTCTTTTCTCTCCCTCTATTCCTCTTCTCGAAGAAGAAAAGAAACACTTGGCTGCACACACGCCTGCGTTTCTATGGACGCGCGCGACAAACGAGTGGTACACGGAAACAAGGTCGACAATATATGCGGTACAATATATCTCAAATTCATAGCGATAATAATAGTAATAATAATAATAATAATAATAATAATAATAATAATAATAATAATAATATTAATAAGAATAATCATTTTTATAAGAGTAATAAGAATAACGATAATATTACAGTAGTAATAGTAGTAATAAACAAAGCATTTGACAAGCTGCAGAAATACAATACAAAGGTACAAATAATAGGGAACAAAAAAATCATCATTATCATCTCAGGACTCTGTTATGTGTTACGAATTAACATAATATGTATTGTGAGATTGTGTATGTCTCTGTATGTGTGTTTGTGTACACGTTTGTTCCTTCACGAACAGGCTGCATACATTGTATATATTTTTTTTCTTTTTACGCACGCGTCTTTTACGCTTTTTTCTTTGTTTCTTTTTTTATCTTTTTTTTTCTATTTTTTTTTTTTCCTTTTATCCATTAAACGAACAGCATCTTTTCTGGCGCCGCTCTCGATCAACGAAAGGACGATTTTTTTTTTTTTTTTTTTTTGATCAACGATCGATTTAAGTATCGTCAGTGTTATCAATGCGTCACGAGATTTTCATCTCCGTTTTTCCCTCTATCTCACACTTTCCCTTAACGCACTCTTTCTCGCTCTTTCACTCTTACTCACGGCATCCTTCCATTCCCCAAAATTTAATATCCTTTCCTCTTCTTCTTCTCTCTCCAACGTTCTTTCTCTCACTCGTCCTTTCTCTCAGTATCTCTCTTTTTTTTTTTTTTTTTTTCGTACGCACAAACACTGTTCCGCTTTTTGTCTCGTATGCTTTGATATTTATATATATGTATATATATATATAAAAATACAAAAAATAATTTACAAAATGATATTATAAGTATATTTTACACGCGAGTTTCATTTTTGTCTCACACTTGACTTGTTTTTTGGTTTTTCTCTTTATCCCTTTCGTCCACTCTCCCTCGTTTCAGCCGGTGTGTTACTTGTCGGATTGTTCGTGTGTGTTAGCGCGTGTGTAATATGTGTACATGCCTGCCTATGTGTATGTGTACATATATATATGTATATGCTTCGTTCCATTTTTCTCATTTCGCCCTCTCTCGTTTCATAATTCGCTAATTTCTTTTTTTTTTCTTCTTCTTCTTCTTCTTCTCTCTTTTTTGGGTCGAGAGGATGACCCGGATATTTGAAAAATTTCAAGAAACGCTTCTTTCAAATCTCTCTTCCTCACTCGTACACTCATTCTTCTCTCTGTTCTAACCCTCTTCACCCTGATGTTTAATTCAGAACAAGCAACACGCCGAAAAACTCTGATTTTTCACCTCACCCATTGTTTTTTTCTTAGGTATTTTTCGGTTTTTTTTTTTTTTACTCTTTTGGTTTGTCTCCTCGTTAAACAAAATATAATAGCAGTGTATGTATATAATATATATATATATATGTATGTACGTATAATTTTCTCATATAAATATGCTCTATACATATATATTTATACTTTTATATATATGCACGTATCTTTTATATATATATATTAATAACTCATTCGTGGATCGTAAGAGATATAGAAAACAAATCCGTTACAACAGGATAATCACTGTAACTGTAATTATGTCAAACCACTTATACTATTAACAAAAATATATATATATATATAATGGTATATATATTAGAGGAGCGAAGCACGCTGATATAATCAAATATGTCATACAAAAAAAAGGACAAAAACAACAATAACAAACTATCAAAAAGAAAAAAAAAATAATAAAAGAATTAAAATAAAAAGTAAAAGAAGAAAAGGAGGAAATATATATATATATATATATATTGGTGAAAAAGGTGATCTTAATATCTAAGAAAAGAATGGCGAACATCGCTGATCGTTTTCACGTTTATCGTTTCTTGAAAAATTAACATCACGTTGTTCGATAAGAGATCTCCTTTTTTTTTTTTGTTGACGATCTTCGTTAACGATTGGCGTTGTTCGCGCAATAGATCCATCTGGATGGATCGTCGAATTGACGGTAAGAAAAATATGTTCTTATATAGCTTACTTAACGCACACTTAGTAAAGGTAAAACGGTTCTCGTACAAAAATAAAGGAACAAAATCTAAAGCCAACAGAAAATACATCTCGATTACAATAATAATATAATCAATATTAATAATAATAATAATAATAATAGTAATAATAATAATAATAATAATAATAAAATCGTAATAGTAATAAAAAAAAAGGAGAAGAAATAGTATGAAAGAAACAACGGTAGCGGTTGAAAATGGTACCTATATACAGATATACATATATAGGCGCACAGTGTCTCGCTGTTTGTCTCGCTTGCACGCATCCTCAACACTTGCTCACCCACTTTGTTCGTTCTTTCTCTCTCTCCCATATATACATACATACACACATGTTTCATCATTCGCACGTACACATGTATCACTCGTCGCATCGTCTCTCGTTCTCACATTCGATTCCGAGTGTATACGGATCACGATGAAAAAGTGTTAAAACGACGATAAACGCGGGAAAAAAGAACGTAGGCGCGCACGCGTGTAAACAAACCGTGTTTAGCGAACAGAACGAAAAGGAAAACGTCGCGTCACGGAAGGGGTCAAGAAACAAGAGACATCCACGTATGCATCGAGAAACAACTGCTCAGCCTGTGGAAATTTTCGTTTCTCCACGCACACTGATTTTCAACGGTCTCTCGAATCATGGTCGAAACACTGTTTTCAGATATATATGATTATATTTCGATCGGAAAATTCGTATCTTTTCACTCGCACAACCACGCACACGCGCGCGTTTTATATCTTTCGCTCAAAGTTTCAAGCTCTCTCTCTCTCTCTCTTTCTCTTTCTCTCCCTTCCTTTCGCACTATTGTTTCTTTTCCTCGTTTTCTCCGCCGCTTGTTTCATCCCTCTCTCTTGCTACGTACGAAACGATGAAGACTGGGGCCTGGGGTGGGGCTTCGGAGAAGGGGCATTTCGTAACAGTTACATTTAGGATGCACTTACACGAGTAACATAGTTGCTTGTTTTTTTGGTTTTTCTTTACCGTTTCGACACCGAGAGTGTGACTTGGGTGGGGTACAAAAAGGTTTTTCTTTCTTTCTCTTCTTCTCTTTCGCAGATCTCTCCGTCCCTGCCCGGAGAACGCCGCCTTCGAGTCAACATGGCGCGCCCTCCGGTCCCGCAGTCGAGGGCTGATCCCGCCATTTCCGGTCTTCGACAACGTCGAAACGACATTTTTTTACACTGTGTATCTGTTGCCAATTCGCCTTGTTTCCCGTTACGATTCTGTTCGCATCGTTTTTTGACGGTGTTCGTCGAGGGTCGCTGCGATCTTGTTGAGAACCGGAAGTCGACGGGCCGGCCTTCTACGCCACGCTGTAATCGAGATACAGCCCTACGCGGTATGTGTGTGTATATATAATATATATATAATATATATAATATATAATTATATATGTATATAGTTTACATTCAGCAAGTAGTTAAAGTATTGAAAAATATATATGTAATTAATTACAAATCTAATGATCATCCTCTTGTTAATTCATTATTTGGTAGAATAATCGATAGGTTTTTTTTTTTTTTGGGTCTTTCTTTGTGTTTCTCCGTGTGTCGTGTGCGTGTGTGTGTATGTGTAGTAGTAGTAGTAGTGTCTTTGCTGTCTGTGTGTGCGCGTGAGTGTGTAGCTTCGAGTGTGTCCGATACACAAAACGCATATTTAATATTGTTCGCTTCCATTCAGCTTTCATTTTGCTTTACTCTTGCTGCTTTTCTTTTTTTTTTTTCTTTTTTTTTTCTTTTTTCATTTTTCAACATGAAACGGCTTTCTCTTTTCAACTGTGCCTGGAGATCGTATCACGTTTGCTCACTTCCGCTCTGACACGCGAGTCTCGCATCATTTTGTTGTTCGAATCGTTCTCCTTCTTTACACGCGTGTGCGCGTGTATTTCTGTTCCCTTTTTCTGTTCCTTTTTTCTTTTTTTTTCATCCAAACTTTTTTCATCCAACGAAGAAAAGCTTTCGAGAACGAATCGATGATACATCGTCTCGAGTTGTTTCGAATTTTTCTCTGTTCCATTTTTTTTTCTTTTTTTTTTTTTTTTTTTTCCTAATCACGCGCGTCAGAGCCTCGCACAATTTCTTTACTCTCTTTTTCTTCCTCACTCCCTTTCCCTCACTTTTCTCTCTATAAATGTATGAATATATATTATATCTAATATTGCAGTGTTCGGTTATCGCTATGACATTAGTTACGTTACCACGATTACTTGTTTCTCCATTTACGGTTAAAAAGACAATATCGATCGCTATAGTTTATAGACACATGATACTTTAAAGAGACAGATTTACCGTTTGTTTACGTCGTCACGTTACTCACGTGTTTATTAATTATTAGTTACTTTTTTTATTCTTTTTTTCATATTACTTCTTGTGTGTCGTGTACCCGAGTTACTTCGAACGGTTATTCAACTGTGTGTTCGTGTACAGTGTGTGTCATGTGTGTTCGTGTCCGTGTGTGTATTATCCTTAACCACTCGTCCTCATTTTTTTTTTATTCGTTAACGAATACATCCATTACAGATTATGGAAAACTATGCTTAATTTTTTTTTTCTTTTTTTGTTTCCTTGCTTACAAAGTGTTTCATTACAATCGTATTGTAATCGTATAATACTATATGTTTATCTTTTTGTATGTATCTCAATGTATGCTCTATATCTCGTTCCTTTCTCTCTCTGTCCTTCTCCTCATTCCTTTCTCTCTCTTTCTCTCTCTCTTCACTCACCTCAACTCATCCATCTCGCGCCTCCATCATGCATCCATCGATTTCAATCCGATTCATTATCTTTCTCTTTCTCTTTCACTCGTTCTTTTTTTTCTTTTTTTTTTTTTTTTTTTTTTTTTTTGGTTTTGCTAGAAGAGTATACATCGTGTACGTGTGTTTGATTCTTCGCTGAACTGAGCCTCTCGTCTCAAGCCGAGATCCACATTTGATTCGCAACTCATTGCAACGCTTGCTCCAACTTTCCTTCTTAATCTTTCTCTCGCCATTCTCCTATCCCATTCCTGATCGGATCGTTGAAGAAGAAAGAAAAAAAAAAGGCCTCGAGACATTTATAATGAACATCGCCAAAGCGCGACGAGGATCGTCGTCTTGGATCTTGTTCGAGGATCTCGATTTCGTACACCCAATTTGTTCGATGATTACAAAGATTAGATTAGAAAAATAATCCAAGAGAGCTTTCTCTCTCTTTCTCTCGAGGCTCGATCGAAAATTCTTCCTTTTCTTTTTCTTTTTTTTTTTTTTTTTCTATCTAGCCAGGACCAACGATCCGAATATATCGAGAAAGTGATCCGAGAATTGGGTCACCTTACACTGATGGACGTCTTCCGTACCAACCCTCGAAAGTCTTTACTCCTTCTCCCTTCTTTCCCTCGACTCATCATTCAATCCAATCGATTTCTTTCGCTCTATCTTTCTCTCTTTTTCTCTCTCTCCAATCTCTCCCCCTCTCTCTCTTTAACAATAGCAGGTACTAGCATAGCTACCACAGTCGTACGTATCGTTAATAGTTACAATTAAGTTTAGATATTACTATAAAGGGTACTGTTCTCCCACCTTGTCCCCTCTCGCCTCTGTTCCCCGCGATTTTTCCTCTTCCATCCACTTTTTCCTACCCTTATTAGTTCCGCGGTTAAAAAACATTTGTTTTTAGCACCCCCTCGCGCGGCCACACAACTGCCGAATCGCTCGACAATCTTCAAGATTCCTCGATTTTCCATGATAGGAAGAAGCCTCGACACGGCCCCTCTCTCTCTCTCTCTTTCTCTCTCTCCATTCTTCTCGTGAAGAGTCTCTTAATCTTATATCGAAGGAACTCTTCTTTCAGGGAATTTTCCGTCCGAGAAACCGAATTTTCGAGAACACCGTTATTCGAGAACGAGGTTATCTTATCCCTCGACAAAATTTACCATCGAAGAAATCCATTTTCGTTATCCAAATTAGGAGAAATTTCGTTCGACTGGACAAAAAAAAAGCGAGCAAAGACGTCGAGGATCGGTCGATCGATGCGCTCTCGGATCCATGACGGAACGACCGCAGGAAGCTGGTTGCTCGGCGTCGATCATACAAAACTTGCTATATAAAAATCCGTACGAAAGAACGACGAAAGTTCACGCCTAAAAATTATACTACTTATTACACTTACACGATACAAAGTTTCACGCTAAAGTTTTTTTTTTTTTTCTTTTTTCAAAACTAGTCTAAGAGAGGACCGAGCGGATCGACCGACGCGAAACGCGAATCTTCTTCTTTCTCTTCTTACTTTGCGCGCGAGCAATTCGACAATCCATGGCCGCGTTTATTCCGTACGTTTGTCCCACGACGACAAGATTAAACACTTTTTTTTTTTAATACTTTTAGCACCTAGTGCCCGGCCCGCGGCTCGCGGCACCTCCGCCATTGTTGCTGTCGCGGCTTCTCGCGATTGCTCGACGGACGGGGCCGACCGTGACCCGATCTGACAAGTTGATGATCAAATAAGGAGAAGTTATGATTCATCCGTGCTATGCTCGGAGACTGGATATTGGATTTGAAGCCCGAGGTCGAGCGTGGAGCGGGCACGTAAGAGAGCGATTTTCGATCCGATTTTTTTTAAACCGATTTAATTTATTAATACGTTTCGAGTAAATTCGAGTTTAAAAGTGGTAAATGAATTTGATGGAATTTTTTTTTTTTTTTTTTTTTTTTACTTATGAGAGAAGCTAATAATTTTTGTAATTTTAAACTCAAATATTTTTTATAGAGAGCTAATTTTAATTCTGCCCAACTTTCCCCGCCGATCGATAAATATTCATAGAATTATAGAATGACAACGCGAACGCGAAGCCCCCGAAAACTTATATCGCACTTCGATAAAAAAATATTCGGCAAAATTGAATATCCTGATGCATAGCTCCACGCAAACGGATCGACGCCCGGAGGCGTGTTCGAGGTCACGAGCACGGTCGCATCTCCGGCCGTCGAGGACAGTAACAGCGGCCTTTAACAACGTAATCATCTAATTAATCTCGCGAACGCGAACCGGCTGGTTGCTCGCTGCTCCAAACCCCTTTCACCGGCTTTGTTTCCCTTTCGACGCGCCCTTTGTCCATGATTTTCGAACATCGTTGGACCAGGACGCCAACCACGTTAGTTCGGATAACCTGGAATCGGCGCCTGTCAATAGATCGTACAGATTAGAAATACAGGAATTTAAGGAGATGAAAACAGGAATTAGGAAAGTTCGAGTATAATCGCGCGTCGAACTTCGTTCGATCACAATTTTGAGAACGTTGTCCCGTTATGGACGAATCTAGCGTCGTCCGATTGATCCGTTAATCCCACGCGATAAAATAGGTTAGGTCGCGTCGAAAGAAAATCTTACAAGGGAAACGAAGGGATTATTACAATAATCGAAATGGTCGATCATGGTCGACAACAAGTTCTTCTTAAGCTCAAATATTTTTTTTTAAGCCCGTATAACGACCGCAGTCGACCGTTCTTTTCAAAGTTTTTTTTTTTTCTTTTTCTTCTTCGATACGACGGTCGACTCTAGACGCCACTAACGCCACGGTGCGCTCACGGCCGTGAAGAGAAACTCTGATTCCCTTGGCGGGGCAGCGACGCAACGCGGCCATATTCCCGTTCGCGCGAACACGCCACCACTACTCTTCTTCCCTTTTTCTATTCTTTCTCCCTCTCTCTTTCTCTCCTCTTCTTTGCTTCTTCGCTTTTTTCAATTTTTTTTTCTCTCCTACGCTCTACTGCATTTATTATAAAAATAAAATGTAAAATCGTACCGAGGACGAGTTTTCCGAACGGTATGGAACCGCGAGCACCATCTGCGACTCGATCGAGAAAGAATCCCACCGGCAGCCGTGCTACATATATAATATATATCATCGTCCTCTTCGCTTTTCCAACACCGTCACGTTTTCTTCTTCAAAGATCGTTCTCCTTCTTCCTCTTCGATTCGGTCGTCGGTTTTCTTCCACCCCCGAATCGAACAAATGTGCGTAAGAGGAATAATCTAGCAGAAAATGTGTCACGACTAACAATCTTCCCGGGTGTTCGTTCGTCGACGCTTCGACAGACCGGATACTGGTAGTCCCTACACCGTTTCGCGACAACCCGCGAAGTGAGTGCATATTTTGAATATAATACATAGGCTCTACAGATATATTCAATATCAATTCTCCGACTATACCAGTGAAAAAATAAATTATTACACGTTGGTAATATCTGTGTGTACGTGTTGGTGAAGTCGTGCGCGATATTAAGTGTCCGCACACCCCGCCCTCAATGTGTCTTTACCACGGACGCGTGATGCCTCCGTGTGTATGTGTGTTTGTGTATATATGTATATATATATATATATGTATGTATATCCTTCCGTGTCTCTGTATATACTCGTGATCGTGTCACCACGCCACTACCAGGCGGGGCGTTTCCGTGTGTTCACGTGGCAAATGTAGATACAATGTATATATATGTATATACATATATATATGCATATGTATATGTATATAGGTCGCCAGGTAAATGGTTGGGAGTGAGTGTGTCCGTTGCGTATGAATCTGGCCCGTATGGAATTTTACGTACGCGTCTCGTACGAATTTGTATGTGTGTCTCTTGGCTCTTTCGCTGTCCCAGGTGTGGGCGCATGGCGCATCGTTCGACCTTTTCATTTCTCTCTCTCTCTCTCATTCTCTTCTTCCATCCTTCTTCAAGCATATCACGAATTGGTCTCTCTGCGGTCTCAGTATAGAGTACGCGTCTTATATACACGCAATTCCATTTTTACGCGACCGTATCTCAAGATTTATTCGCCTCAAGATGGCTGCCGATCAAATTAGTCCGAAACACAAGTGGCAATCATTCGAACGACGAGCGCCATCGCGCAATCGGGTCCATGGTATCCGTGTTGTTGTTGTTGTTGTTGTTGTTTTTCGGTTACAGAATGTTCAAGATACACGCGGCTTTTCTATATATATATATGTTAGTCGGTCGCAAAGTTCGCGTTCGCGAGTACCGTCGCATCGAACAATCCCACCTCCTCTTCTTTCGTTCCTCCGCCTCTTCTCTCCTCCCGAACGTGTTCCACGCACGCCTCAGCGCACAGGCTCACCGAACACGAATCCCTCTATACACGCTCTATATAATCTCATTCTCGCTCTAACTCTCGTTCTCTTCCTCTTTCGTTCTCTTTCGTTCTCCCTTTTTCACGCTTTCTCTCTCTCTCTCTCTCTCTCTCTCTTTCTCTCTCATTTTCTCCACGTCCACGTCGTGTCGTCTTGATGCTCGCGCGCGTCGACCTCGGTGCTGTCTCTTCCACGGTGCTTCCATCGCGTCCGTCCTCTTCCTCTCTCCCTGTCTCCCTATTTCGCGCACGTAAATTGTTCACACGCGTAAGATCGAGCGGATCGCCATATTCGAGAGAAAGAGAGAGAGAGAGAGAGAGAAATAGAGAGGCGGACAAAGAGAGCACCGCACAGCAATAGCAGTGCACGCTCTTTCGCCGATTCTCTCTTTCTCTCTTTCTCTCTCTCTCTCTCTCTTTCTCTCTCTTCCTCCCGAAAGATAGAAGATCGAACGAGAAGACAGGAGTCGATGAGCTTCGGGCGTCGTCGCGATGATCCGATGATCCTCGAAGAGGGTGTTTGGGGAGGGGGGAGGGTATCGTTGCACTAGCAATGCAGAGCTACCGACCTTGCCGCTTTGTTGTTTTGGATTGGACGCTCGTTTCGCCAGAAGAGAGACAGAGTGGGGAACTCTATGCGTACATAGCGTGGGGTGAGCAGGAAGGTGAGCTCCGATCGGATGGTGCAAGCGAAATCTGGTTGTACGTGTGTATATGTATGTGTGTGTGTATGTGTGTGTGTGTATATATTACGTGTGTGTATTACGTGTGTGTATTACGTGTGTCAGGGTACGGAACCTAGACTCTGGACGACGAAGACGTCTCGACGCACGAGATAGAGGCTGGAACCGTGGCCCGTTCACTCACGTTCGCACGGCCCGGCCTCTCATACTATCCTCCCCGACTCCCCTTCCTGTCCTGTGAAGCAGCAGAGGATCAGACGCGACTCGAGCCGCGCCAGCCGCTCGGTCTCCACTCGCGCGGGGTATTAGTTGGCTACGAGGAGGTGCTGGTACTGGCTGGCCGGGTACGGCGCCACGGATCCAAGGCCAAAGTTGTTCAACCCCTCGACGAGCGCCGTCTTGTCCTGCTGCTGGCCGGACCCGTTCACGTTGCTGTTCGTCGCCGCGGACCCGACCGGGCCCAGGTTCCCGGCGCTCTGCGAATTCCCGTTGCTTCCCGCCGCGTTGCTCGTTCCGTTCACGCTCCCACCGTAGAACTGGTGGCCGGCGATCGTGGTCGGGTCGAGGTAGGACGATGGGAAGTTGACGCCTGTGTAGAGGTCGGCGGACAGGTAGCCGCCGTGGCTCGACGAGTCGAAGATGTTGCGATGGGGGAATTGGGGATGATACGCGGCCGGCCCGTGCTGGAAGAAGTACGCGCTTGGGTCCGTGTGCTGTTGGCCGCCACCCGCCACTATGCTTCCGGGCGAGAGGCTGCGGCTTCGGGGAGAGGTTTGCGAAACGGGCAGCCCGCCCGCCGCTGCCGCTTGCTGCTGCTGCTGCTGTTGTTGCTGTTGCTGTTGTTGCTGCTGCTGCTGCTGCTGCTGGTGCTGGTGGTGATGGTGGTGGTGGATCTGTTGCTGCATCGCCCGCTGCTTGATGTAGTTCGAGAACTCGGTCGGGGACATTCTGAAAGCAACACGGTTACGTGCGGTTCATTTGTCTGCTGCTCGCCGGTTTGCTATTGCGGTCGGCGGATGAGAGGGAGGGGGGGATATACACTGTGGGAAGGGGGAGTTGTACGGTCGGTCTCCGGGTCTCAACCCTTTCGGTGTTAAGATTGCGCTCGGGTATGCGGGCGGTTAACTATCCTAGCCGTGATCACTACGTGGCGTAGTGGTGAGGCTAGGCTTGGCAAGTTCATCGACGGATGGAAATCGTCGTACATGGTGTACGTATCTAGGGGATTCGGAGGGTGAAAGGTAACTCGTGCGTGTCTCGGAGACCATTCCGTGTTTTGACTCGTGGTTGTAACCAAATTTTCGTCTTTTCGAACATTTTCACGATTTTAACTCATTAAGGACCCGAGCGGTAATAATACGATATACGATGCAAAAGCTCACTGCACAAGAACAAAGACACGAGAAAGAAAGAAAGAAAGAAAGAATGAAAGAAAAGAATGAGCGAGGAAAAAAATATTACAAGCGAATCCCCCTTTCGTACTCGACTAATGTTAAAAAGCAGAGTTCAATAATTTAATCTGAAAATAAATTGGTCCTTAATGGATTAATACCGCGAATGAGCGAATACTTAACGCGTTATACACGATAAAATTCATCCATTCTCCCGCCTTCGTTACATTACCTTCTCTCTCTTCGGAAAAACATGTCTAGAAAGGCATACTGTCCACCAACCTGTTCGCTCGTTTGCTGCTCGTCTTCAACTTGGTGCTTCCGAACTTGGTCTGCGCGAAGGTGGCCGTGGTGAAGGTGAGCGGCGCCGTGGTACGCGGGATGAACGCCGGAACGGGGCTGGGCGAGCCCTTGAACGAGGTGGTGATGGGCGTCGGCGAGGGCGCCGACGAGGAGCCGGATCCGTGGCCGCTCTGCTGGTTGTTGGACGACCCGTTGCTCGCGTTGCTGCCCAACGAGCTCGGGAACGGGGACGTGGACTTGGGGCTAAGGCTGAGCCCGCCCAGCGACGTGCCCACGGCCTCGATGGGCCTGAAGCACTGGGCCTCGGGGTTGAACGTCTTGGTCACCTCCCGGTCGGCCGAGCTCTCGTCGTGCGGGTCCCCCGTCTCCGAGTAGAGGATCTTGACCGCGTTCATCTCGCCGATGCGGTAGCTCACCTCACCGGGGTCGACCCACACGGCCAACTCCGCTGGAAGGTTCTCCAAGATGTCCTGGATCGGCACGCCGCTCTCCTTCGCCGCCTTCTCCAACACCGGGTCGACCGGGTCGCCCGTCTTCAAGCATCTGAACGCCGATCCCTTGAAAGGTTTCTCCGGGTACCAGTGCCCCTTGAACTTGTCCTTGAGCGCCTTCTCGAGCTCCTCGCCGAAGATGTTCACCCGCCTTCGCGGCAGTTTGTTGTAGAGGTACGATATCACGAAGTTGAGCGCCACCTGCACCTCGATGTGCATCTTGCCCTTTGCTGGGAGAATCTTCGGGCTGTTGCTTGTCCTCGCAGCCGCGGAATAGTACTCAGCACCCTCGCACGATCGGCCGTCTTGCCGCCAACGCCTCGCGACCCCTCGACGACGCGCCACTAGACGACACGGCCGTCCACTGTGGCGTCTGGCTGATTGAGATTCGGGTGTTGCCTCGTCTCGGTCGACGGATAGATCCCTCTGACTGTAACGTGAAATGGGAAATTTTTCGTTAGACGGGTCGTCCACGCTTTCGCCGATCTTCTCGATTATTTCGAAAAAATTTCGGAAGAACGAGAAAGAGACAGAGAGAGAGAGAGAGAGAGACTTTACGTTCGTACGTAAAGCGTGTAATGTTATTACATTAGACGTTATATTGGGCTGCGTTTTCAAAGAATTGAAAAGCCTTTAACGAGTCTCCATCGAGGGGGAAAAAGTATAAAAATTGGTATAAAAATTCGCGAGCGACGCACAAAGAAAGAAGCACGGCCCTCTTCCATCGGTTGTGTCGAGTGGTTTTTCAACGAGTGGCGAAATCACATTAAAAGAGTGGAGTATCTTCGAAAGGCTTTCACCCCGGCTGGGCCCCGCGTTATCGGCTCCTTTTCACGATCGCGCATCGATACGGAACACCGCTTCCGGTTACTCGACCCACTCCTTCTCGCCCTCTGAACAGAGTCGAACGAGAGCCAATCGTTTCCCGCCTCGTATTCGCATAATACCCTCTCCCCACCACCCTTTCCCCGACAAAGCCCTCTCTTACCTCAATCCTCGCCCTCCCCCCTCCCCCTTTCCTCGCTTTATCTGCCCAGGATAATTTGAAACTCGAACGGCGGCGTGAGAATTTTAACGATTGCTACGGATAAGATGGGAAACGTCTTCTTTGAACCTGGTTATAAAAACTATATTGAATACAGTCGTGAGGGATAGAATGGGACGAATTTACGAATTGGACTTTCATTCCCCGAGAACAATTATTCAAAAATTTCGGCTGTTCTATCGGAAACGTTCACGATTATCTTCCAAACTTTCGTCCATTCGCGTGTCCATTTCGGGCAAAAATACTTAATAGGTGGAGAAGCAGTCGGAACGGCGTAACCGTTCCTCAAGATCCTCATTTCCGGCCGAGCAGTCGGCTAAAAAGAAAGCTCGCCAAGACGAGAGGGAAGTGCACTCCCCGAACTATCGCTCCCCTCTTCGGTCAAGTTCGAGTGTTCGTCCATTCTGGAAACGGTCGAGCTCGTGTCAAGAAGAATATTCAGCTGGCCGCGCGATTATGGGTGAGACAAACGCCAATAAAAGGGATTGCAGTCATTGCGTTGGGCCGAGTGGCCGTCTTCCGCAACCGGCGTCTCGTCGCAATTGCGGAAGCAGCCCTCTTCGAACGAAATCGAGAGGGAAAGGAGAGCTTTAAGCCTGTGCCTTTTCTTTTCCTCGCTTTCTTTCCCCTATCCTTTTCCGTCCGTCTCGCTCCCTTTGCTTCTCGTCAACGCACGTGTCACTCTGTTCTTCCTATCTTCGTCCACGTGTCTTTTGTCTCAAACACACGATCGCTCCCCTCTGTTCTTCAAGGATTGGTAAATTGGTGAACATCGAGGCTCTTAGGCTCTTGTCCTTCGAGAACTTGATGATTCCACGGTGATGTCTCTTTCTCTTTTTCTTCAGCGAGAAAGAAGGAGAGAGTTGTGAAGAGTTCAGTGAACTGGCAGCCATTTTAAGTGAACGTGAGAGAACGTCGGTACGCATTCCTCTTTTTCTTCTATTCTGGGTCTTTTTTTAAAGCTTGTATTATAAAGAATGCTGATATTTTTTCGTGGATCTTTAATCTTCTAGACATCGAAACGATTTTTTCTTTTTTTTTTTTGTCAACTTTTGTATTCGTTTCTCTAGAATCAATCATTCAAAGATGTTATTAAAAATTATACGTATTTATAAAATTACGAATGTACATGTATCGCCAATAGCCAGGTAAAAACGAATCGAACACAAGTTAAAAAGGAATAGAAAGAGAGGAAGGAATAGAGGAGGGAAAGAAAAATTGTAGGTTAAATAATATTTGAATGGAAACGGTTAACTCGTTTCTCTCTTTCCGGTCTCGTCCTCCGCATCCTTTGCGAGTTCCGCCCCTTCCCAGTCGAAACATAGAGCCGTAGACAACGCGTGGTATTTTTCAATTACGCGACTACACGCCGTCTTTTGCGGTCTCTGTGCGGCTCGTTCGCACTCCCTGGCTGCGGTCTAAACGTGAAAAAAACGCCACCACCATGGTCGTTTTAACGGTGAATAAATAACCGGCGATGTTTGAATTTTCTGCCGGAAGTCGTGCCGCATCTCGCGTCGCGCGGCAAGTGGAATCGAAACGTTTGAAGAAAAGATAAACTACTTAATTTACGTATTACACTTGAATTTTCATCCATCCATTTTTTTCTTTTTCAATCATCTTTTAATCTATTTATTAGCTTCATATATTTGTCTAATCATATAATAATAATATTTGTTTGATTTTTATAATTCGTTGGAAGAAATTTGAATAGGAGGAATAAAAGTTGATGATGAATTTATTTGTTTTATTTAGAAAAAGAAGAAAATGCATGCGTGTATTATAGTTTTAAAGCGTATGCTCTGCTCTATAGAGGATTAATAGTGCGTGGATCAGTATGCGGATGAATCAAAGTTGAATAGGAAGTGAATGAATTGAACACATACACTTCATTCTCGGTTGGCATTGACGTTACAATTTAGGGTTTGTGCAACCTTTACACACCGCTACTTGTACAAATTAGCCGACTTGATTTATATAACTCGTTTACAATGCGTCGAGCCATTTTTTGTTTCCGTTCTCATACTTGTTTCTTTTTAATTCTCATCGATCTCTTTTCTCCCCTCCTTTCCTCCACTCGAACAGACGTCCGACTCTATCTATTCTTTTGTAAATCAAAAGAGTAAAATATTTTTCCCCTTCCTTTACAATTTGACCGAAAATTTGATATCAAATTGTTTACAATTCGATATTCAAATATATATGTATCGTTTTGAAAGAGAAACTCATTTTTGTTTTAGAACGCGTACATAAATCTCTGGACAAACATGTTAAAACCGTTTTATCAATCTTTTCACCAACGATAATTCCATCGAGAACCAATTTCCACTTCGAAATTGAAACACACAGGGTATTGAAATAACATTGTACAACGCGATAATTTCATTTCACAAGCAACGTAATAACGCTTCAAAAAAAAGCTGCATCGATTTTTCCCCGAATAATCCCGCCCTAAACGCGTCAAAATATTAAAACGCGTTTTTACACGCATAATCGTTTACTTCGATCGATCCACTCGAAAATTACCAAAATCATCCGAGCACGAGAGCGTGGCCTTATTTCTCCCCTGCCATCTCTAAACCATCTCGTTGGAAACGCAGCAAAAGTTGATTCCTCAAGAGCCGTCGATACTTGCCAAGAAGCTGAAACCACCCCACCACCACTCTCGTCACCATCCAAAAGGAAAATGTTTTCGTTCCAGCCAACTCCTCCTCTCCTCGGGCAGTCGTTGCTGGATATGTAGGTTAACCCCGCTGCACCCTTTCTGCCTCTCCAGTGTAGTACTACACGACGACACCGGGGTTGCCGGTGGTATTGATCCCACGACCAGGGTTGCCGGAAGGTTCTCAAGTTAAAAATACACGGCCTTACGGAGTCGCGCGGCTTTGCCAACCGTTTTCGTGCCCTCTCCTCTCTGGGTATTTTCTCTCGCGGAGAGCTCCTCCAATAAAGGAAGAGAGAGAGAAAGAGAAAGAGAGAGAGAGGAGGAGTCGAGGGACGATTAAAGGTGACTGATAATTATCGTGGAAGCGAGCGTTGTTGTCCAAGTTTCTCGCGACCTCGAGCGTTTTACGACGCGGTCTCAACAACTTATTAAACAACCGCAACCCCTGCTAATTAAGAGACAAGACACTCGTTCCGCGCCTGTGGCGGCAATTAAAAAAACGAATCGCGAGGACGAGTCCAGGGTGAACGTGTGAAATTTAGAAATGGAGAATTTTAGGGACGGATGTGAATTTTTAGAAGCGTTCCTTTCTTTCTTTCTTTCTCTTTTTTAATCAGAAGGAAGAATGGAAAAGGGGGTTATGATGTTTATTATAAAGTAAAGTATTGGAAGGGGTTGATAGCCTCTGCTATCAACGGAGCGGTGGTGGTGTGAACCGGGGGTATTCCGAGAAGAGTCGATGAACGAAGAAAGGAAGGTAGTAGGATGGAAGCTAGTTGGATCCAAAGCGGAACAAGGATTGAGACACGACGCGAGTTGGAAATAAGATGGAAGGGGTTGAAATTGGGTGGGATACAGGCCCAAACAGGGAGTCGAAGTGGGTCGTGTCGATGCGAGGGCGAAGTGGGGCAAAAGTAGACCCGAACTAGGGCTGGCCGCTAACGATAGTCGTCTGAGAATTTGGGGCGTAATTTCAACTGTATTTTTTCGTCGGGGACGTTTCACGAAAGAGCGAGAGGGTAATTTTTAATTAGACAAGATGGGTAATTTAGATTTTATGGAAAATATGGAGACTATTAATTTTTAATCGTCGATTCAATCTCTATATAATTTCAATATTTATCTGAATTTATTACTGCAACGGACGTTTCGATGGATCAAAAAATGTAATCGAAAATCGACATCCATCTACTAAAAATTACATTTCTCCAGAATTTTGAAAGCCGTTGGCTCGAAACAATTGTACGACGAAAGGGATGTTGACTATTAACCTTACGAACACACGTCGCAAGGCTGTCGAGCACAGACGGCGGAAGCTTTGGCGAAGGGTGGCGCGGATTCAAAGGACAGCCTTTTTCCCCCGTGCCTCCGTGAAACCTTGAGGGTGAGAGGTTGGTTGCAGGTGCGCGTAAAGACCCACGAGTACGCCCTTTCCACGCGGCTGCTGAATGGAGGCCACGTGGCACTCAAGGGCCACCGAATATGGGCCAGAGAAGTGTTCTTCACCAAGAACCAAGTCAATGGAGCACGATTCCATCTTTCTCCCACTCTTTTCGATCCTCTTCTCCGCCTATCTTGTTCCTTCTATTCGTTATTTATTCGTTATTCTTTCGATTTTCTTTCCTCTTTATTTTATTCGCTGCGAGAGGAATCGAAGAAGAAAGAAGAAGAAGAAGAAGTCCGACAATCGTGACGCGTATCAAGTGGCTCTCTCCCTTCT